ACCTTTCGCCCCGACTGGGGAAAGTTTTTCATGAGCGCACACAACACGCTCTAGGGCCTGCGCTGGTAAATTGGTAATGCGTCCATTACGGCAATACACGGTTAGCGCACTTTCAAGGTTTTCACTACTACTTTGAAAATGATTTATTAATAAGTGATTATAAATATTTTTAAAAAATGTTAATTTACACATTTGTTTGAATTTACGCTTAATGGGCATGATTCCCTAATTGCGTAGTTAATCCTAATATTACGATATTTGTTGAAGTAATGATCATTATTTCTGAATTACAACTGATAATTTTATTTGTCAAAATAATATTTGATACGAAAGTTAGTCACAGTTAAAATTATTTTTATTAACTTTTTAATTATAAAGAATGTAACAAACATGTTGAAATAATTGCAAAATAAAAATCAATTAAAAAATGTATGGCGAGAATGGGGATTTTAGCCATGACCGCCAAGAGCATATGTGCCTATTTTTGCCATCGCTGCTTTTGCGCCTTGTTGTCAGCGCTCATTGACAGATGTGATGATATAAACAGAAATGGAGATGTAATATTGTTACGCATTAAGGATCGAAGAATTATATGCTGTTTTAACACTACTAGTTTTTTTAATAATTGACAAGATGGAAATGACCATTATTATCACTAAATAAAAAATAGTCTTAAAGTCTTTAAATTTGTAACAAATCTCTCTGCCTCTATAAAGCACACAAATCAATTTGCTTTGGCAGTAAATATAAAATGCAGAGAAACAGCAAAGATATACAAGAAAAGTCAATAGAAAAGTCTAAAGACTACTTCATCATCAAATGTTTTCTTTGTCATTTTGCCGAGAAACTCCTCGCTGCTGCACAGCAGTTTACTGACAATTTCTCTTCTTCTCTATCATGTCCATAAGATTATGGCTCAAATGAATTGCAGCGCTGAGGATAGTTCTAAGTATTTCAAAGAAAGATAGAAGAAATGAAAAATAACAACAATATCCTTTTTTTCTACGACAGCCTTGTATTGAGAGCGCCCTGCGCTAGCGCCAGACATTAGGCCGTCAGACCGACAGCTGGCCGTCAGAATTGCAATGTAATACATGCTGTTTGCAGATGACGATAATGACCTCTGAGTCTGTAACATCACATCACGTATTGGAAATACGAATAATGTTCCTGTGACATACACAGTAACAAAATAGTAAACTAAAAAACACTTCTTAGGAGAATCTAATCTTCTCGGGGTAAACGGTAATTGAATTACTTACTGCTAATATTATGAAAATCGTTGGCGTGTTTTTTTCTTTCGACTAACCTTGGGTACAAGAGAAAAATCTATGAACGTTGATAGTAACGTAATACAGTATTCAAAATTAAAGAACACATTAACGATCAATTCAACTAAAGTGTGCGAAAAAAATCCGTTGAATTACCCTAGCGCCCTCATCCACATTCTCCTGAAACCCACAGAAACATTACCGTAACCAGGCAGAGCCTAATGCATCCACCCAATTCCCATCAGCTGCACGTGGCAGCTAGCGCTCCCATTCAGGGGCAGTAGCCCGGCAAACGCCCAATCACTATCAGAACTACTGTTGCCCCGCCGTCGGTACCAGCGCCTCCCTCTTCCAACGACGCGACGTCGCCGCTTTCACGGAATTCAGCCTTGTCCTTGCCATCACTGCCTCCGCCTTCGCCCATCCTCCACCTACTTTGCGCATGCCTCCTCTACCTCTGTCTCTTTACCTTCCTATCTCTCGCATCTCCTCCACCTTAACTCTTGCCTTCTCCAACTCCTCCTCCGTCTCTTCCAACTCCACGTCAGCGTCCTCCAACTCCTTTTCCGCCTCCTCCAATTCCTCCAACTCACCCTCCGTCTCCTCCAATTTCTCCTACATCTCCTCCAAACTCCTCCCCGCCTCCTCCAACTCCTCTTCGACCTCCTCCAACTTCTCCTCCATCTCCTGCAAATCCTCCTCCGCCTTCTCTAGCTCCTCGTACGCCTCGTCCGTCTCCGCCTCCACATCTGCCTCCCCGCCTTTCGTCATCCTCTCCTCCGCTTCCTACCCTCTCCTCTCTTGTGCCTCTCATCTCCTTCCCATTCCGTCTCCCCGCCCGGCCTGCCCTTCCCAGCGCAGCCTCCGCCAGCTCCACC